AAATGGCTGTCCAGTCTCTTCTTAAAAACTTCCAGTGTTGGAGCATTCACCGCTTCTGGAGGCAGGTTGTTCCACTGGTTAATTGTTCTAACTGTCAGGAAGTTTCTCCTTAGTTCTAGGTTGCTTCTCTCCTTGGTTAGTTTCCATCCGTTGCTTCTTGTCCTGCCTTCAGGCGCTTTGGAGAATAGCTTGACTCCCTTTTCTTTGGGGCAGCCCCCGAGGTATTGGAAGACTGCTATCCTGTCCCCCCTCATCCTTCTCTTCGTTAAGCTAGACATACCCAATTCCAGCAACCGTTCCTTATATGTTTTAGCCTCCAGTCCCCTAATCATCTTTGTTGCTCTTCTCTGTACTCTTTCTAGAGTCTCAACATCTTTTTTACATCGTGGTGACCAAAACTGGATGCAGTATTCCAAGTGTGGCCTTACCAAGGCATTGATCATGAAGGGTGAAAACACGTCGCTTTTTTCAGTGCGGTTGTAACTTTGAACGGACACTAAACAAATGGCTGTAAGTGGAGGACGGCCCGTATTAGAAATTGCCACAACTCGGTTATCTTTACGAGCAGTCTGGTGGCCTTCCTCATTTTTTTCTCTGTGCAAAGGTCAGAGAAAAAGGAAGCCTCTTGCAAAAAACAAAAAAAGGGGATGCGCCTATTGAGTCCACCCTGCACGGATGCCCTTATTTTGAACTACTAAGCCAGCAGCTAAGGTAGTCCAGAACATCCCCTTTGACCCTGAATAAAAACTCAGACTTAGTTGTAGATAGTCCTTGAACTGACCACAGCAACGGAGACCAGATTTTGTGCTGCCAAGTGATACAGTCGTAAAGCAAGGATGGGCAAGAGGGGTCTATGACAATTCACCACAGGCAACTCGCCACGGCCCACTCGCCACATATCCGTGGTCTACTTGCCACGGTCAACCCAGTGCAGGGCAAGAGTTAGACCGATATCAAAGAAATGGTGGAACAGAATTGTCGAAGAACGGATGCAAAAGGAGGGGCAGAATGAAATATGGATGGCCAAAATTAAAACATTTTTTTTTAAAAATTATTTTAAATAAATAGAATTGTTTTAATTGTCCCACGGCGAGTTGCCTGTGGGAAGTTGTCCCATTCCATGTGCAAGAGGCGCCGGTCAGGAAGGGAATTGCAAAGGCTGCTTGTAACCGTTATTCAGTGCCACAGTAACATCAAAGGTTTGCTGAACAAGCGGTTGTAAGTTGAGGACTTTTTCCAATATAAAACCAACATAGCCATTGATTCCCTCCCTCCCCCCCCGTGAGCAATAAAAGGGTCATATTCGCTGCCCACCCTTTTTTGCAATCTGAGAAGAAAATGCACAACGAGTTAGGAACCACGAAAAACCGTTAACGCGTCTGGAAGTTGGCTTTGGCGTTTATAGTCTTTATAAATTTTATAGAAAATATTCAACATCTAACAAAATAAATAAAACATATTTTAATCAGAGGTGCCTAACGATCAGCTTCAGAAAATCTACAGGGGCAAGGGGGAGGGAGGCGTCCATTGGTCTGCTTCCATTTGCGACTAAATTGGAAGAGAACTCTTTCGCAGTAGTGCCCAGGACTCAGTGGCTGCCCTTTCAGCGACGTGAAAAAATACAGCTAAGTCCATTTGAGAAGATAAAAAAAAAGGAGAGCTCTTTCAGGAAGAGTTCATATTGTCAGTGTCGGATTGTTCCATGTACCTGTTTCAGTTTATTTTATTGTTTTAGTGCTCGTGATAAAGATTCTCATAATATTTATGAGTCCACACAGTGAGGGGCGTTTTTTTCTCTCCTTCACTTGCTCTTCTGAAGAACCGTACGCTAAGATCTCCTAAGAAGAGGGTCTCTCCAAACATCACTTCCAAGCATGCTAATAATGCAAGCGATTAGGCTCACCCTACAGTTCTCTCGGATGCGGGCATCTATCCAGTGTAATTCAGCTTGAAAAGTAGAGTCACCTCCTCCATTGCTAGATGATGGATGGAGAAGGAGGTCCTTCTGACCTTGAGGCTCTTCAGATCATCCAACCTCCCCACGGCATGGAACAAAAAGCTCTTGTTGTCATACCGAAGAGACCAAACAAATCTGAAAAATCATAAACCAAAGGCAAGTTTGAAGGAACCGGCTTCCTGAGGGACGATACACATGTCCGATGGTCTGATAGCTATTCAGGGGGCTCCCGAAGAGTCCTCAGCTTCTTCTCATCCAGCCCCTTCCAATACTTGAAGTTGTTGTCTAGGTGCTGCATCAGATTTGGTAGATCTGCAAAAGCTAGAAAAGACAACGGTGAAGTCATTGTCACGTCTGGTCATGGGTCCAAAGATTGAGAATGTTGGGGGCTTGTTTTCTTAATTGTGAGGGGGGCTATGGACAATCTACAGCTTCAGAGATGCAAGCTGTCCCTCCTTTTTGGTACCCCTTTTTCTCTTTCTTCTGCATCAGAGAGAAGAAATGGCTTACCATCCCAAGCATCAAACATATCCGTGATGAAATAATCAATGAATGACATTTGAGATTTAGGGATACTGCAGGTATTCCTGTCAAAAACCGGCATCACAACAGGTAAACCTTGCCTTTTCTCGTCATCGGTCTACAAAACAAAAAACAAAAAAAACCAATGCACACCATTATTTGGTTTATTACTACTAACAATATCTCCTCTAGTCCCATCAGTGTTGTATAGCTGAAACTGACGGGGAAGGAGCAAACATCCACTTGTGTATTTGAGAAATATGACAACATGGCAAGAAACTGAAGTGTCGTTGTTCCATTGAGGAGCAGGGACTCCAGGGCCACCAAAGAGGATCAGAGGCCAATGGGAAAAGATTCACCTTCCCCTCCATTTTGTTTTTCATCTCCCAGGAAAAATGAAGACTGACATCCAGCGGGAATTTCTTCAGCTTTCTATCTTAACTCACCTGTGCAAAATATTCCTCCGAGATGCGACCTGCCCACTCAATGCACTGTTCCAACGGACGGCAGGGGTTGGAAACATCAGCACACTTAATTAGCATCCTTTTGATCAGGATTCGATTCTCAGGAGACGTCAGGACGTTTTTGATGGGATCCCCATCGCCATTTGAACTCTTAAGAAAACAAAATTTACAAATATTATTGTCAACTATGCTTCACTGTCATCCATCTCTCTCTCTCTCTCTCTCCCTCCCTCTCTCTCTCTCCATAGATTCAGAATAGCTTTTGTCCGACTTCACCTGGAAATCAAGGTTCAGTTTTTGGCACTGCAAGATGAAGACCAGGAACTGGCAAAATGGCGGCCTTGCATACTAAAGTGATGGTAACAGTTCCAGAATAACAGTTCTAGAATCATAGGAACATGAAGCTGGAAGGGCTACTATAAAAACCAACCTTCTGCTCACTGTCAAAATTCAAATTATAGCATCCTTGATTGAACTCTTATCTTTTGCCTGAACACATCCAGTAAAGGGAGCTCAGTCATCGGTGCTTCTATGGTTGAATGGAAATCTTGTCATTGAACTTTATTATTCTACTCTGGAACTACAGAGAACAAACCTTGATGCTTTTCTATACTTCAAAAGCATCCCTTAAGTCTTCTTTCACAAGGTTAATCAGCATATCCTGTACCCCAAACATTTTGTAGGGATTAGATTTCAGTTCCTTAATTATCCTTGTAGCTTTTCCCTAAACCTGGTTCAATCTAGTCTCATCTTTCTTAAAGTGTGATGTCCAACGTCATATTGAGATGGGATTTATTCAAAGCAGAATCAAGCAGAATACTTCTGTAACCTGGAATATGATTTTGTTTTTATAGACTTCTTTGTGTTTACTGTATCCAGTGCAGCGGGCTGGGTAAGCACGTAGATTATTTTTTGATTTGCTTAAACAATTCAGATCGGGGCACATTGTTATTTACTCCAATTTACCTTTCCATTTCTGTAGAGAATCTCTGGAGAAATGTGTGAATTTTAAAGGAGGCTCATGAATGGGGAAGGTTGCTACACACACACACTACAAAGGGAGTCCCAGAATCTGGACATCTCAGTTCCCATCTTAGGCTCAGCCTCTTCATGAGGTCATTTATATATATTTTTCAAATGGTGTCTTCAAGAGCTTTCCAACATTCATCCAAAAACTGCTGGGCTAACTAAAGGAATTGGAGCTTCAGTTCCTGTTTTAAAATACTTGGGCCCGATCCAGATTTTTGCTGAATAAATGGAAACAGTTCATGGAACTCTCAAAGAGGCTCTTTGTGAAGAGTGCAGAAACGCTTCTGCGAAGGCTGCTAAAAGCCCTATCGACGCAGAGGAAGCCTTCAATCCACCAAGCAAAAGTAAACAGCACAGTTTAAAAAAAAAAAAAGCGAAAAGGCTAAGAGGACCCTGAATTTTCAGCACGTCTTTTTCTCCCAGGACTTCAGAAAAGGCAAAGATTTCTTTCACGAAGGAGATGAACGCTGAAAGCATCACAGCATCCATTGGAAAATGGCAAGTTAATTCTTTGGGAAAGGGCGAATCCCTGGTCTTAAAAGCCCCAAATTTAGAAACTTCAGGAATCCCAAATTTTGAAACGATTTCCTCCTCAGCTGTTTGCAGAAATGAAGTGGCAAACAGACCAAAACCCACATCTCCACAACATGGGGCATAGAAATAATAATAATAATAATAATGATGATGATGATGATGATGATGATGATGATGATGATGATGATGATGATGATGATGGTGGTGGTGGTGGTGGTGGTGGTGGTGGTGGTGGCGGCGATGATGATGATGATGATGATGATGATGATGATGTTGGAAGGGACCTTGAGGTCATCAAGTCTAACCCCCTGCTCAGGCAGGAAACCCTATACCATTTCGGACAAATGGCTGTCCAGTCTCTTCTTAAAAACTTCCAGTGTTGGAGCATTCACCGCTTCTGGAGGCAGGTTGTTCCACTGGTTAATTGTTCCGACTGTCAGGAAGTTTCTCCTTAGTTCTAGGTTGCTTCTCTCCTTGATCAGTTTCCATCCATTGCTTCTTGTCCTGCCCTCAGGCACTTTGGAGAATAGCTTGACTCCCTCTTCTTTGGGGCAGCCCCTGAGATATTGGAACACTGCTATCATGTCCCCCCTCGTCCTTCTCTTCATTAAACTAGACATACCCAATTTCATCAACCTTTCCTTATATGTTTTAACCTCCAGTCCCCTAATCATCTTTGTTGGTCTTCTCTGTACTCTTTCTAGAGTCTCAGCATCTTTTTTTACATCGTGGTGACCAAAACTGGATGCAGTATTCCAAGTGTGGCCTTACCAAGGCATTGTAAAGTGGTATTAATACTTTAGACATAACTATTTTAAATTGGAATAAAATGAGAAAAGACTTGCTTTGCCCTACTCTGAAAGAATACCTGTTGAAATGCCCCCCCTTTTTTAAAAAAAACAACAACAAAAGACAAATGTTTCTTCTGAGATTGAACAAGACTCACAATTAAGACCATTGGCAAATTGCCACTTGTAGTATTCTTTGCTGTACAGCCGTACTGATGCTTTACTCACTGAGATAGCTTAGGTGCGTCATTCAGATCAGGCTTACCACCATTGAGACACCAAGTTTATTATCTTCCCAGTGAAAAGCAAAAAATATTTTGTTTCAGGCACTGAAAGAAACAGATCTGTTCATGATGAACGTGCTATTCAGAAACCTCTTCTGAAGTACTCTGCCAGCCAATGTTCCAGTTTTATTATTGTGTGCTTACTTTTTATTGTTTTATTAGGCATTTAAATTTTTGTGACCTTGTGTTTTTAGTGTTCCAAGCTACCTTGAAGAAATTACATGCACATCTACCTAACATAATAAAAATAAGCAAAGCGTGGCGTAATATGTTGTGGAACATGTTCCTCAGAGAACTAGGAGAAATACTGACAGTTTGTTTCAAGAGTACCTACTCTATTCACTTGTTTACTAGATTTAGAAACCGGATGAGAGATTGCAGTTATCCCAAGGAGAGCCAATAAATGTTCTGATTGAAGAAGTACTTGAACTTGGATTTTTCTCTTGAGAAAGAGAGATTATCTCCCTTTTGCAAAAGGAGCAAAACTTTACACAGTTCATTCCTGGGTTCTTAATCGGTCTTTGATCAACCTGAAGTAAGTAGAGGAATTCATTTCTAAATGTATATAAGAGCCAGCTGCACTTTTGCTTTCAGATCTACTTCTTGCTAGGACTGCTTACCCCATTGTCCTCAACGGCAGCCAAGGGCTTGTTTATACTGTTGACAAATTTGTTGACGTGCTCAAAATGTTTGGTCATTTCCGTGGCCAAGACCATGTCAATAATGGCTTGTCGCAGTGTTCGGTATTCATTTCTAAAGAAAGAAGAAGACGGGGAAAAATAGGGGCAGGGTTTTAATATTTAATGATAGGGTTTCAGACAACGTTGCAAAGAAAAAACAATCTGACATTTAAGCCAGGGCTGGATCTGCTCTCGGTTCCTACAATGTGTGGCCCCTAAAACTTATCCAAAAGGCATTCCTGAATTGTAATGCCGAATGCAGTGTTTCTCAACCTTGACAACTTTTACGATGAGTGGACTTCCACTCCCAGAATTCCCCAGCCAGCTGAGGAAAGACTTGGAATTATGGGAGCTGCAGTCCAAAAGTCTAGAAGCCAGTTGGGGAAAGTTTGAACCACGTCATTAATTGGACTCCATAGATTTGCATACATACAGACTGACTTCCGGACAGATTACTTTTTCTCGTTTCTTCCTATAGATTCGACCACGCTGATCTAGCTCTGGGCTGTGTTGTCTCCTGTCTCCCTCTCTGAGGAATGTGCTCCCTTATAATAATAATAATAGTAAAGTTGGAAGGGACCTTGAAGGTCATCTAGTCCAACCCCCTGCTCAGGCAGGAAACCCTATACCATTTCGGACAAATGGCTGTCCAGTCTCTTCTTAAAAACTTCCAGTGTTGGAGCATTCACCGCTTCTGGAGGCAGGTTGTTCCACTGGTTAATTGTTCTCACTGTCAGGAAGTTT